TCCATCCAACCATCCCATCTCGCCATCCATCCCACCATCCCATCTTGCCATCGATCCCACCATCCCATCTCGCCATCCATCCCACCATCCCATCTAGCCATCCATCCCTTCTTCCTCCTCCTCCTTCATCCTTCTTCCTCCTACTTCTTCCATCACATCTCGCCATCCATCCCACCATCCCATCTCGCCATCCATCCCACCATCCCATCTCGCCATCCCATCCCACCATCCCATCTCGCCATCCATCCCACCATCCCATCTCGCCATCCATCCCACCATCCCATCTCGCCATCCATTCGTTCTTCGTCCTCCTTCCTCCTTCTTCCTCCTCCTTCCTTCTTCTTCCCTCTTCTTCTTCCTTCTTCTTCTTCCTTCTTCTTCCTCCTCCTTCCTCCTCCTCCTTCCTCCATCTTCTTCCTCCTCCTTCTTCCTCCTCCTTCCTCCTTCCATCACATGTTGCCAGTCGTCTTCAATCTATGCCAGTCTAAGTGTCGTCAACATGCATGCAGCAGACATCACAGCAGCAGGCAACAAACATTCAGAGCCCCCAACACTGCACATATCAGATGACCTGCATTCAGCATTCAGCAGGCAACATGCATGCATACCCCCCCCCCTCCCCTCTTCCCAACCCCACCGCCCCCCCCAACCCCAAAATTTTATTGCAGATTTGGGGTCCTCTTGCCGAGCGTGGAAAGACCCCGCCTTCAGAAAAAAAATAAAAAAATTCTCGGGTGTTTTTCGGCCCGCCCGGTTTGCCCGGGCGGCCTCCCCGGGCACGCCCGGCCGGGCGCCGTCCGCACCCAGACTAGAACCTTTTTTTTTTTTTTTTTTTTTGGACCATTTCTCGATTTATGCGTGTCATCCTTGCCCAGGGGCCATGCTAATCTTCTCTGTATCGTTCCAATTTAAATGGATGTCCCGAAGGACAGGGGGGAAGACTAGAATTTCTTCTTCCATCTATCTAACAGTTTTCCTTGATTTGTTTTTACTGCCAGCCCATGTCCATGCCCACCTTATGAACAATTGATGGTTGTACCATTCAGCCACATCAGCTTCCCTTTTTTTTGGTTATTAGTCGGGCCCAGTGCCAAAAGCAATACAACAATAAAGTGCAATCAAGTTCCGATAGGGGCATCAGGCCTCCAATCCTCACCCTGAGATGGATCCCCCCCCCTGTAGCGATGGACTAAAATTTCCTCTTCCATCTATCTAACAATTTTCCTTGGTTTGTTTGTACTGCCAGCCCATGTGGCATCACCCACCTACCCCGCACTGTACCACCCCTATAGTTCCATCCAGTCCACATACCATGACCAACCCCACATAGTATCACCTTGGCCACAGAGTACCACCCAGTCCACATAGTATGACCCACCCCACAAAGTGCTTCCCAACCCACTTAGTATCATCCATGCTACGTAATAGCACCTTGCCTACATAGGAATCCCAGTCCACGTCCTATGACCTGCCCCATATTGTACTACTCAACCCACATCCCATATATTATTGCCCGATCCACATGGTACAACTGACCCTGGCCACGTAATACAACTCCTTCCGCATAGTACCACCTGGCCTAATGTTGGCCATGTTTTGTTTTTTTGTGGCTGTGTCTGGTGCCCTTTTCTTTGTGTCTGTGTTTTAGGACTGTCCAGTCCACCATATAGTATGGCCTGCCCATATGGTGCCACCCGGTACAATGGTACCATTGAACTCATGTAACATCACACAGGCCATATAGCTCACATTGTACCATAGGTGTGTGGGCATCGGCCTACATAGCATCGAACACATACCCACACTGAACCACCCAGTCCAAATAGCATTACCCACCTACGCTGCATTGTAACCACAGCGCCTGCACAGTACCATACAGTCCATATACAGTGACCTGGCCCACCTAATACTCCGGAGCCATACAGCTGAGTGTACATAGTATCACCCTTCCTGCCCACAAAGCAGCACACTCGTCCCACATGCTATCACGTAGTACCACATACTACAGGATTCCATGGAGCCACGGCAGACATCTGGATTCATGAATTGCAAAGACAAGCAGAAACACATGTATGGATCTCATCTTCCTCCTGCCACTGCGAACCTGTGGTGGGCCTCGACTTGTACCATGAGGGCTTGTTTTAGGCCAGCTAAAATAGCCTGATTAGCCGGAGTTATGGTAGTTCCAGAGAGTGAAAGGAGAAAAACATTCTCCAAGGATCTAGCGTAGGGAGTTGAAGGTTAGCCATATTGCCGTAGTCTGAAGTTCTGATGGTGTAGGTTCAAATCCTACCCCTTCCTATTTCCACAGTCTAGCCAATGGAGAGAAGTTCTAATGTATTGCTCTGAATGATTAGATATAGATAAGGCATGTGCCATACAAGAGTGGTGTCCCGGTGAGCTGTGCAGATGGAGTTCAGCGGGAGACCACTAGATTGTTTGATATTCAGGAACATTAGTTACAGCAATGATGCCCTGACCGTTGCCAGCCTCCTCCCTCCTCCCTGTGGTCTCCCAGTTCCTCCTAGGACCTCCGTATCCTTATGCAACAGCCCTCTCTCTCTCTCTCTCTCTCTCTCTCTCTCTCTCTCTCTCTCTCTCTCTCTCTCTCTCTCT